TCTCTACTTTATATATAGATGTTTCACATAATGTTGTCTCACTTGCCACTATTAAGTTAATGACAATTGGTCATCTAGTCCCTACTTTATATATAGATGTTTCACATAATGTTGTCTCACTTGTTACTTTTAAGTTAATGACCGTTTAGATTCTTCCAAGGTGTTCAAGAATCATAGTTACACCTCAGAAAATACATTTGGATGTTTCCACTTGTGTAGAGAACTATTAAGTGGAAGGAAACTGACCAATGACAGCTTGAACACCTAAACAAGGCAAACTATCATCTGCAAAATAAATAAATGACTGCCATCTGTCAATTCTGGTCTTAGATTAAATCAAATACTAGTAACTTGATAATACATCACTATACTGATGGGTAGAGATAAGGCTAGCCCATATGCCCACAGCAAATTTTAGAATGCCAGTGATGATTCCAAGAACACATTCAATGAACCAATAATGTGTGAAGCAAATAAAGTGCTCTATTATCCTACAGCCAGATAATAGATGTACTCATTTTGAAAAGATCTGGAACCAGGTTCACCTTTTTTTTTTGGATAATGGTTGATGTATATGCTTCTACTGCTTGTCCATTAGACTTCAATCCACATGACTTAAGAGGCGTGTTGCATCCCACCAAATGATTCTAAACTTCAAGATGACCTGGAAACACCTTTTTTTTATTAACGGTGTGGTTAAGGATAGATTAGGACCTTATCAATATTGATTTTAAAGTAGAGAACATCAATGCCTGATTATTGCCCTTACTGAAAATACACCGTAATTAAAATGTCATGAACTCTAAAGACGTAAATCCTCTTTCTAAATGTTCTTATACAGGCATCAGCTCAGCAGCTAGTTATTTATTGTGATGCGATAATTATCGATTGGCTGATTTGTATAAAGATAAACTCTCGTGGAGAATACTTGACATTATCTTATAACACGTGTTTTACATAAACAGTAGTAGATGTTTTCTTCCTTTTACTTACTGTTTTTTTTTATTGATTAAAGGCATAAACGGAATGGTAATGGCCATCTTCGACAGAGAAATCTCCAAGAAGAACTGGAAGAAGCATCGTTAAATAACGAAAGCTCCACAGAGACAGAAAGCTTTGGCAGTGGTCATAATGCTGAACTGGTTGGTGCTTTAGCATTGTTAGAACTCGCTCAAGGACCAGTGACTCAAAATAAATTTAGTTTGGTGGATGTTTGAACTTTCGTGGCTCGAAAATTTGTATACAGATTTTATACGAACACTTTTACTTTGTATATTAATTTTGTAGATAAAGTACGTATATTCTTATAGATGTTGACCAAAAAAATCTATCATTGGATTGTGTATTCCAAATTACTTATTGATTCGTGTATATTTAACTGAAATTTGCTTCAAAACAAAATATATTTTTAACAAGTGCTTATCTTATGTAATGTTGAGTAATATGAATACTCAAGTAATAAAAAATCAATTTTTCTGATGTGTGTAAGACTTAATGTTAAAACTAAAGAACATTGCAGGACTATTCGAAAAATCTTTTCACCCTGGTATTTCTAAATATCACACTTATTATATTCTTTCAAGTAGTGTTTTATGTTTAACTGAGTGACTTTTGTCACTTGGTTCGAATATCTTTAACGTTGAACAGACACTACTGTTTTGTGATACTGTGTCATGATATTAGTTTAAACACTTGTTGTGTGTTACTTTTGTGCCACTGTATTTAACAGGTAAAGGCACTCGTGTATTGTGTACAACACAAAATATTTGATTTGAAATAATGATAATTTTAAAACAAAATCTTGGTGCTTTTCATTCTAGACAGTAGATCTCTTGTCATCGTTGCTTTTATAATATTAAGGGTATTTATAATTAAGGAAAATGAACCAATTTATTGATGTTTAAGAAAACAGGAATATTTTTATCTTATTTTTTTAATATACTAGATTAAACAGAGTTTTTTTTAAAGTTGTGTAATAACTCTATAATTAATTAAGAAATGGTAATTTACCAGAAAGATAAGTTTTTGTATCTTATGAATGATTAAACGACCACAACATCGTGTTTTGTCGTTGGATGTATTAACAGCTGTTTAGGAATTATAAATTAGTTTTTAAAGAAATAAAAAATTCATTCATGTCATGACTATGTATGAGTTATGTTGAAAATAACATAGCTTTACGGTGAAAGGATATCCATAAAATAACATAACTATGTACGAGTTATGTTGAAAATAACATAGCTTTACGGTGAAAGGATATCCATAAAATAACATAGCTTTACGGTGAAAGGATATCCA